AAAGCAATCCTGCCACCATTCGTCGTGCCGTCGGCCGTCGCACATCGACGTCAAATCTGGAAAAGTCGGCTGCCCGTTTGGCTACAAGATCTGATCAATTCGGACGTGCCGAGAGCGATAGATAGATAGATTTCCACGTGCCTTTTCACTGCGTGAAGGAGGCCACTCGTCTTCGTTCCTGTCGGCACGCACCTCAGATTGTCCACAATGATTGGGGGTAAAATCTTGGAGATCAAAGTGGGGTCCGGAATTATCTTCATGAAGAACATGGCTTGGAAGCTTATGGGTATGGAAATATTGAATGCCAAAGTGGTCAGTCTTTTAAGTTCCACCAACCACGTTGACCGATCGCATACGTAGACAGTATCGCTTTGAACGCGTTTGCGCTGGAAAGATCGCGTACGGGGTAGAACAAAGCATCGGCATCGGGATCTTCTCCGACTTGCATCTTATTGGAACCACACAACACCTCCATCTAATCCGTCCGTCATATCCATCATCGTATCGCGGCCGTCGAGCTTGTCGGCGGCACGACCTCCTCAAACATTCCGCGGCGAGACTGTGCCTTGCATAATTACTCTCGTACATATGACACCTGTCCTATTATTGTTGTCATGAAAAGAGAGAGCAACGTTGTTATCATCCTCTTATTGCACTCTTTATCAGTTACATACAAATTATAATTATATTATACAGATTGCTGTAACACATTCGTCAACGGATCATTTATGTTTATTTTATAAGATTATTTGATATTATATTTTTGAAGTATTTTATAAGATTTATGCCTTACGTCCTATTTAAGTGCATGTCTACGTGAGAGAATAAATTATTGTGAGGAAAAAGAAATGAAATAAAGAGGAGCGATGAACACTCGCTGTTGTTGAAGCCGACTGGTTTGCCAGCACGCAGCGTGCGTGAGAGAAGGAGGGGCTGTGGCTTTCCTTCTCCTCCAGATTGTTGCCATCCTCGACACCTCTTTGATGTAATACGTCGAACAACTCGCGGGAGTGCGGCCACGAAACGTGACCCAACACCGCCTTTAAGCCGCACGATCGGACACCAATGCCCCTTTCATCTCAATTCCCTCGAAACAGGGGACGAACCCAACTCGGAAAGCCGCTGAGCACACGGTGGAGGAACAACAGATGAATCCGAAGATACTTGCTTGTTTTTCCTGGATTTTGGTTTGCTAGTTAGATTCAACTTCAATCTGGCAGAAAGATTTGATTCCGGCGATAGAATCTCGAAGATGATTCTCTAAAATGGTAAAACAGAGCAGCCATTTTGCTTGCGTGTCGTCACGGAGCTGCCGTTGCAACTTGGTATTTTATTCTTCACTAAATCAGGCAAGTTGGATCTCGTGATGTCTTAATCTTTGAACAAACGCTGCAAAACCGCGCTTGAATTGCTGGCGGCTCAGCGAATGATGGTGGTATGTGTGAGAAAGAAAGAATATGAAAAGGCAGAGCATCGTTGTCTGTTTAGGTGTAGGAGATGCCAATTGGCATGTAATTGTCATCGGGTGAAAGGAACCACTTAGCTTGGTAATATTATGTTCATAAGAGTGCAATCAAAATGCATCTTGAAACATTACTCTGTTTCGGATTAGTCTAAGCAGCAATCATTAAGCTTGGAGATTTTGGTTGCCAATTAATATTGTGGATTTCTTTTATGAGTACCTTTCTTTTGTAATTTTGTCTCTTTCATAAATAGCCACAATCCAACAATAATTGGATAGGAAAAATTAATAAGATTCTAAGCATTCATTGTATCTCTTTCATGGGCAGACAACCACAAAACAAAGGACAGCATTTTTGTTTTTCTACACTCGTTTTCAAGAGCACTGTACAGATCGATTTTACCCACAAAAAACTCAGGAAAACACACACAAGGAAGAGACAAGATTGACTGGAGAGAGAGAGAGAGAGAGAAAGGAAGGAAAGGAGGAAGAAAAGCTCTTCAGCCCAATACAAAATTAGAGGGCATTAGTGAGTAGAGAGAGAGAGAGAGAGAGAGAGTATGATTGAGGCTCAATAGTCCCAGAGAAGAGCTTCGAAGCCGGTGGGATCCAATGGCGGCCACATCTGGTCGGGCTCGAGACACAACTCGGTCTCCACCCACGGGGACCACGAGTAGGCCGCGTCGTGGAACACGAACTCGCCCCTTGAATGGGCTGAGTCGAGGAGGCACCCGTCAAGACGCGGTAGCTCCACTATCTCCCCGAGCTCATCGGAAGTGTCCGGATCATCATCCTCGGGCGCCGCTGGAGTTGGGGCCGGGTCCATGGCGGCGGCCATGGCGGCGGCGGCCTGGACGTCGCGCGGGGAGAGAGTGGTTGGGCGGGGAAGGGAGGCGGCGAGCTCCGGGAAGTTGAGGACCGCGGCGGTTCCTTTGATGTTGAGAGCGGCCACGTCGTGCGCCCGCGCTGCCATCTCCGGCGTCGGGAACGTGCCCAGCCAGATGCGCGACTTCTTGCGCGGCTCCCGGATCTCCGACACCCACTTCCCCCAGCTCCGCATCCGGACGCCGCGGTACGCCGGTTGCTGACTCCCGTCCCGCGCCCGCTTCGTGCCCCCTCCGGTCTTCCTCGCCGCGGCAGAGGTGGCCGTCGTCTGGTTCAATGCATCCGTAGCCGGAAGCACCGGAGACGGGGACGAGGAGGTGGTGATGGAGGATACGGAAGAAGACATCGAGTGGGCGCTGCTCTCCGGCTCAGAGCAGTTGCGTGCATCCGCCATTGATGCCCAAAAAACTGATCTTTTTGGCTGGGATCCGTGTGCTATTATCCCTCACGGATACTGTTGGTGGCAAAAGGCAAACTTTTCGATGGCGTCCTCCCGTTGCCCCCGTGAAGCAGGTTACAGAAAGTTAATAATGGTGGAAGGTGGCGCGTGTGGAGGCAAAACAAAGAGTTCCCTAATTTTGGCTCAGAAAGGTAGGCTTTGAGACCTGCGTCTTTGTTTAATTAGGAAGACGCACAGCTTGCTCGCAAAGAAGAGAAACTGGCATTGATAATGGAGGCTGGAGTGCGCTGATGGTTATGTATAGCTTCTGGAACAGAGAGACAGACGTATGACGATTATATTAGAAGGAGTAGCTGCAGGACTTCCTGTACGAGTACCTTGACCGAGAAGAAAATGAAGATTCAAGCTTTTCTTGGAGGCAAACAGAGCAACCGTCAATGAGGTTCCCCGGTGCCTCAAGAAAGAAACAAGCCGCACGCTTCTACAACGGACTCAACACCAAGGAAGAGAGAGAGAGAGAGAGATGAGGAGGAGGAGGAGAAGAAGAAGAAGGCAGAGTTGGGAGGACGAGGTGCAGGGGAAGGAGGAGCTTTTGTAGAGGCGGGAGCGTGCGGTCTTAAAGCGACCCGCCACCAGCCTCGCTTTCCCTATCATTTCCTCAGGACGCTTGCGCCCACTTCCTTTCGGATCATGCTTAGTACAGCAAGAAGTGATCCCCTTGGTTTCATCTTTTTACTTTCTTCTTCCTCTCATCACTCTGTATTCCCTCTCTTCACCATTTACCACCCAAAGAGCCATTCAATATTAGTCTCGTCACCCGATACCTATTATCAATCTTTTTTGTACAATTGAGTTAGATTTTTCTTCCCCCCGTAGACCTATTAAGAATTCAGACATGGTACATCTCTTCTTCAGATGACTTTGTATAGACTTGCACTCCACTGCTCTGACTCATCCTGTAGCACTATAGTTCATCTGACTGTATTGAGATTCATAGGTTTTTTGGTTTTGTTACGGCGGAGGAAGCCACAGTTGTCCTCCTCAATCATCTTCATGGATGGTTGGTGATGTTGTCCATGGCCGAGAAGGGACCAAGAAAAGAAAGAGGCAACTACTGGGTCGAATCTGTACGGTGACGTTCTTATAGCTGAAGCCGCCTCCTACTTCCATGTTATGTTTCTTTCCTGTGCAAATGAAGATGGCTGCTTCTATCTTCTTCTTCTTCTTCTTCTTTTCCTCCGATTTCTGCATAATATCTCAATCATATACAACATTTTTCCAAGAACATTCGAAGGCAAATCAAAGATGGTGAATGAACTGTGGAGTCCTCTCTCAGCCATCTCACACAACCCTTCCGATATACTATTGCCAAGGCCGTGCTGTTAATTCGGATGCTATTTTGGTATCTATGATTAATCCTATTACTATTGCCATCTAACACAACCCTTCCGATATACTATTGCCAAGGCCGTGCTGTTAATTCGGATGCTATTTTGGTATCTATGATTAATCCTATTACTATTGCCATCTAACACAACCCTTCCGATATACTATTGCCAAGGCCGTGCTGTTAATTCCGATATACTATTTTGGTATCGATAATGTACTCAAATCACATAACCAAATTAGCTATTTAAATCTATGATTAATCCTCAAATATTAGATTTTCAATAATCTTCTATCATGTAAAGCGTACAATTGTGACCATCGTTGTGTATGATTGAGTTCATAGATTGGTCGACTGTGATCACATCCTCAAATATGTGATCGTCAAATATGTATCGCAGTGACCACATCCTCTCCAACCAGAAGCCAAGGTCAAGAAGAAGATGGGTGCAACCTCACATCTTCCAAAAGAATGAACTATGATGCATCTTCTAATTTGCCCTTCTGCCACATGATCTCCTTATCAACTTGATCTCGCAGCAATTTTTCCTGGCATTGGCTTCGGTAAAGCACGAACAGATTGAACAGAGCATTGTCCGCAGAACGAAGAAAAAGACATTTTTTGAGCAATAAATTCAAGGTTGGTTGAGGATTAAAACAGAGCAATAGAGGTCAACGAGCATTGTCGATTGTTTGAGGAACTCTCTGAGGAAAATGATACTACTGAAATGGAATGAAAATAGAAAGGGGTTAGCTGTACCAAACCTGAGATCCATTCCCTTGCATCTCTGATGGTGTGCTCTACTCTTAGATAAGCGAGTCAGACAATGGATAGGAAAGCACAACATTCATGTAATGCCACATACATCACACACTGCCAAGAATATTGATTGGTGATAACTGAGGAAGGAAAACACTGGACATGGGGGCATGAGTCATGCCTTTGCCCTTATTATTATCACTCTAAATGAAGAGATGAGATTATTACGATGCATTTGTATACGACACCAAAGCTACAGAGATCGGAGAGTATTATCAGGCAGATAGAACTTGCATCCATCTCTCCTTGCTCTCCTCTCCAACCTTAGTACGTAATCTATTATATATATAGCTCGTATCACAGTCTTCACGCACACCTTGAATACCAATAACATGGACGATCGACCAGCTCAAGCGTAGCCGCAGCTCCCGTACTCGCATCGCAACTCCGCCTGGCACGCCGTTCCGCACTTGCCGCAGTTGTTGACGTCGTAGGCCACGGCGGTGCACTTCCCGCTGCAGCAGAGGTGGCCGAACCCGCACTTGTGGCCGCAGACGCCGCAGTTGTTCCGGTCGGAGAGCACGTTGCGGCAGTGCTTCTTGCAGCAGTGCAACAGCTGGCGGCTGTCCTTGGCCTGAACCCGCTGGCAGATGTTGTTGGTCACCGGATCGCATCGGTCTCCCTTCTTCACCGCCGCCAATAGCCTGCTCCCCGCCCGCGGATGGAGTCCCATGAAGTGGCTGCTCATCATGCTCGCGTACTCGTCCTGCGTCGCGTACGCGACGGAAGAGATCGCCATCAAGAGAATGGAGACGACCAGTCTCCGAGATGAGAGACTGGCGGTGGCCATTCCCTTCCCTCCTCCTCCGCACTCGATCGATCTCTATGCTTATGACGAGCGTGGGGTGGACCTTTTGAACCTGAGGCTACCAATATAATATCCATGGATTGACCCTAATAAAGCCACGAGCTCACATTCCCTGCTCTATCTCCACCTGATCACTCTCAGGGTTTGCTCTCCAACAGAGGATCAACAGGGAGAAGCACGTGAGCTGCTTCAATTTCTGCCTTCTTGCCAACTCATGGTTCTCACTTCCCGGAGCGATCCTTTCATTGGATCCCGATACTGCAAGCTGTTCCCACTCGATTATTGTAAGGCGGCCATCATAAATAGGAGAACACAGATCAAAGGAAAATAAGCTAAATAAATCAGCTTAGGGTCTCTAATTGTAAGGAAATTGATGCCGACTTGACAAGGAAGGTGTTTAAGATATTCGTAATACTATGTTCAATTTCTGACGTCTTGGAATGACGACGGAGAGTGTGGTGTGATCCAATATTCCGGCGGGTAGTGCGTCGAGAGGGAAGGGGAGAGCACTGTTCCTCGTGAAAGGGCACGTGATGTGCCCCTTAGATCAAGGTCTTCGGTGCAACGCGAATCTTGATGCGACGGTGATCGTTCGATCCACCGATGGTTCCTCTCCGTGTGGCGCGGTGGATTCACGTTGAGCCAGTGGTGCGGTGGGCATTGTGATTGATTCTTTATTTATTTGTCCTACGGGGCACGTCCTAACACTGTAAGCGTTAAACAATGGCATTGGGATCTTCTTTCTACATCAAAAATTGGTTTCTAATCGGAGACGTCGGCATTGCATGATTCGCATCCCCTGAAAGTTGACCGAGTTCACATCGAAATTGTGGTCAGCCCCACTTGATGAATCTTAGGTGATAAATAAATAAATAAATAAATATATATATATATATATATATATATATATATATATATATATATATATATATATATATATATATATATGCCAAACAAATGGACATAAAATTAATTATTCTGAGTTTGAAAAGGACAGAAAAAATATAGATTCTAATATTCTAACACTTGGACACCAATGCATCAAAGGGAAGTCAGTCCCATTGCATCAGCCAAGGAGGCGGCCCAACGCCATAAGCAGTGTTAGTCCAAGAGAAACTTTAGAAACAGCCAAATCGGACGCAGATGACGACGGCCGTGGCGGCAACGGCGTCGATGGTGAATTTCCGGGCGTCGATGGGGCAGAAGCGGGTGATGGGTATGGGGATAGAGACGGCGTCGGTGGTGGCCAGTATGGAGGCTCAGCCGGTGCTGGCGGCGGACTGGGTATGGGGTTTCTGGTCGCCAGCACGACCACGATGAGCTTCTGGCCGTGCGCACAATGGCCGGCGGCGCCACTGATGAAGTAGAAGGGGCCTGAGCGGTTGAACTGGAAGACTGAGTTGCCATCGGTGTAGCACCCAATGGGATCGGCCACGTTGCATGAGTTATAGTCAGCTTCGGTCACCACGAGAACCGAGTCATTCCCTTGCTTGTACTTGAATACTACAGCGCAAAGCAATCACATTAAAACCTCTACAAGTTACAGACGTGTACTCGGAGAGAGAGGTAGAGAGAGAGCGAGAGAGAGAGAGTACTGAGCCTGTCATGGACTCGAAACCGGTTCCTCCCAGCCCAGCTGTTGTAGCTCTCGCAAGGGTGTTTCACCCAACCATGTCTTCCACCAACGTAGAAGTCATAAGCGCAGCATGAAGACATTAGGGCCATCAGAACTCCCACCAAAACAACAGCCGACCCCATCTGATCGTTTACGAAGAGAAATTAGAGAGAAGTCTGTGCACGCTTCTGAGAAGGAAATATGTTTGTATATAGAGGGAGGGAAAGCTAACAGCGAGAGGGGACGTATAAATAGAGAGAAAGCGAGAGAGAGAGAGAGGGGATGAGATGATGAACGTTGAAGGGAAGACGAATTAGAGCTGGTCATTACAAGGAAAATGTGGGTAATGAGTAATAATTCAGACGTTTAGGCGTTTCCTTTAGGATTAACTCTGGGCTCCCTCTTTCCTATTTTTGCCTCCCCAAAGGAATCCACGCCACGAAGAAGAAGAGAGTCAGTCCCTTTTTCCTTCTTTCTCGGCAACACAGTATTTGCTAAGAAATTGAATTAATTTGAAGTTAATGGACAATTAGTGACTTAATTAATTCCACAACATTTTTAAATGGATACACTTATAATAAATCCGTGGCAAGTGATAACTTCTTGTATGCGTTTGCTTATTCATATTTCTACTTCCACTCTTTCTTGAACATCAAAAACCAACATACATTTTATAGAATTATAATATATTAGTTTTCATTAACATATGTTTCATACTCTAGACTAAAGAACACAGTATCACTGAGGTGGCTTTTCTGGCCTCCTTTTAGGTATGTTTCCAAAGCATTACTCCACCAACTATGTTACCCTACTGTTAAGTATCTTATGGTCTCAAGTCAGATCTGTGCTGCCTCTTTGTCCATTATCACTTACAATTCTTGTCCCCCTCGAGTTTTAAGATTAGCTAAAAGAAAATTCCAGCTAAAACTAGCAACAAGGTAATGGCTATTAAGGACACGAGCACAATCTTACAAGACTGTTAGTCCATGCAATAAAAGAGGAAATGCTTGTCCTAAAGTCTGCCAACATTAGACCTAGATGATCATTTAGATAACAAGTTCAGAGAAATCCAGAGACTCGGATTTCAGAATGTTACTTACCGAGTGCTTCCCGCAGGAACTAAGCTCGATTGTCTACAGAACCATTTGCAAAAGCACCGAGTAGACACCATTTCATCTGCAAAAGGATCGAAGGAGCAATTGATTTGCACTGGATGAATCAGAATATACCAAGTTGAGAGTTCCATTAGTGTTCATGACTATTTGACCGTACCCAAGTTGGAGGCCTGCTTGCTGGTGCTGGGAATAATGCTGAGCGGGTTGCAGAACTTGCAGGAAGTTCCTTGAATCAAATGGTGTCAAGATCTCGTACTCACTTGCTGAAGGCAGACTGTTCATCTGTTGTTGGGCTCTCTCATTCTCTGTTATCTGATACCGGACCCATTTTTTTCAGCTTCTGCATCTTACAAGAGAGAGAGAGAGAGAGAGAGAGAGAGAGAGAGAGAGAACCTTGTTCCTTAGGAAGACATTGTCATTTTGCAGCTCCATCTCCTAAACAAAAGAATTCAGAAGGATTTAATTGAAGAGTCAAGAGATATGCCTTCATAAGATATACAGAAGGCGAACTGTTCTATTACCCTTTTCTGCATGTACTCGATTTCAGCATTCAACAGCTCGTTCTGAAATAACCAACAGCTTATGTTAAGAACACACAAACTTGTCCAAATAGATAGAAATGGAGAGGATCGATCCTTATGGCAAACAACTTGAACCGAACTCAGAAACACGATACCTTTTTGGTTCTTATTTTGCTTATGCCTTTCTCCAATTTATTCTCGAGTTGCTTCATGTCTCTGAGGCTCATGGAGCTGAGACCCTCACCCATCAAACTCCTAGGAAGCAATTAGCAACTCATTAGAGCCACCAAATGCCAAGGAAACAAGCCATGATCATCGATGATCGAAACTACCTGTTGGTGCTTTGTATGTGGTTGATTTGCTGTTGGAGTTTTGCTGATTCTTGCTGGTAGTGCTAAGAATCAAAGAAAGAGCAAAGTCATGATGTGTTAATTTCAAGCAACATTGATAACAGATGTCAGACTCCAGAAAAGAAAAACAAAACTATACTTTAAATTCGTCGTCAAGCATTGTAATTTTTATCGGAGCTGATCACGATGAAGCCGAAAAAACATTACATGAAAAAGTTTTTATTCTGAGATTGCTGCTCTGAATGTATTCGGAGAATCCAGTTTAGGTGCCCATGTCTGATTTGCATAGCCTCGAATATGGGCACAAGAAAATGAGTTTAGGTGTTACAACATTTTGACAAGTGCTACATTCATAAGAAACATAAAGAAAGTATAATTGCAAGACAATTTTCTTCTGTAAATCACAATGAAATCTTCAGCTGATTAACAATAAGAACTAATAGAATGTGATCAAACCCAAAGGAAATTAAGAACTGGAGAGAGTAGGGTCACCAACCAAATGTATCAAGAACCTAAAAACACACACAACCTGGTTGCATCAAGTTTCACATGAGATCATCATTATGAAGATCTACTAAAACCCTATGACAAGAAATGCTCTGATCGCGTATTGAAATTTCTCGATTCTGATATAGAATTAATGATATCATTGACAATTGATACGAAAAGAAAATTCAAAATGCAAAACCTAGAATCGGGTGTCGAAACTTGTAGGATGTCATCATGAATAAAGGTCTTCGACTTATGAATAACAAAATAGTTTGGATACATCTAGACATCACATATTCGAGGTTATAAGTTCAGCATTATCACAGATTTGACATTACTGGACATGTTTTGGTAGTGTAAAAATGATCACAATTATTCAGTCGTGACATATGAATTGCATGCAACTTCATAGAGCTTACCTGAGCATTAAGTTGCGGGACAGATCCGGTGCCGGCAGTATCACTGCATGCTTTCTTATACCTTTCAATAGTTGCTTTCACACTGCACAGAAATCATAAGTTAATTCGGCTAATGAAGCAGCAAGTTCATGTTTGAGAGTATATTCTTGACTGATACTTAGTGAAAGAGATATTATAACAAAGAAGACAACAGGAATATAGCAGATAACACCATACTCATGCAGCTCATATATGCCTAAAACGTTTTCTCAATTCTGAGTTATAGTTGAGAAATGTAAAATAGATCTTTTTCTTTTTGTACAGTATGCAATAGCTAAACTTGATTGAAACTTTGGAAAATTGTCCACAATTTACTATGAGCTGAAGGATGAAAACATTGTTTTCAGGTTATTTTTCAGGGATAGTATCTGTTTTCGCATTACTAATCAAAATTGGTTCATTCCTTTACTTCTTTTCTCTCTTGTCTTTGGTGCTTTTATAATACAAGATTTACATAAGTATACTAGTTTTCTAACCTATAGCTTTATTGCTAAAATTTATAGTACCCATTATCCAAAAGAAATTAGGATCAACACCACACTAACCATATGTAGGAACAACAATTCACCCTATATATATGTTCGACCCTACTGACTCTTCTCGAACTCGATTAACTGGTATACTAATTCAAGTCAAGGACTTAGTATTTGAACACACCTAATCCAGTTGGCTTGATTGAAATATAAGAATAGATTCCCTTTGACATTCATGATGTGCCATTTTAAGATACACTTTCAAGGAAAAAAATCCCTACTCCCTAACCTTAGTAAGGATAAAAATGATAATGAAGATTGAATTTTTTTTCCTCATCAAAACAGGAAAATCAAATAACATCCAATAAGCCATAAGCTTTTATTGTATGGTTTTCTTAACTTAGATTATGCCTCATAGCTTTTTGCAGTCAAATAGTAAAGAAATACATCTAAATTAAACATAAATGGCTTGCTGAAGTGGTCAAAAATAGAAAGGTCTCGGATTAAGGTTGAGACAAACGTTTGCAGAATCTTTTACTGGCTTTTATCCATATCAAAAACCTGGGAAATGTTACCCTGACGAAGAAATGGTTTAGGATGAAGACTTGACAGATCATCAGTACAGAGCATGTAGATAGTCTAAGAAAGTTCTTTAAGCTCAGACGAATAATCAAACATCAGTTGATGGAAACCTAAACGTGACCGAACAACATTGTGTACTTCCAAATCTGGCGTCGACAGCATGTGAACGAAGTCCCCAAAAGATATTGTCATCAGTAAACATCACTGTTACGAATCTTAGACGCATCACTCGAGTGTCTCTTCACGGAACATATTGTGTTGCCTGCTAAATCTAAATGCTGTCTATGGCAACCATAGACGCCATCTACACACCAAGTACACGCTTTGATATCAAATGAAGGACAAGGTCAGATGTCAGCGCAAAGACCAGATCGATCTCTCCGTTCCCAAAGCACCCACCCCCCCTCCTCCTTCCGACCTGTCGCTCGTCACACCTGACCTGTCCTGGAACCTTAGTTTCCTCGAGGATGCGATTGGTCCCTGTCGGCCACGTCGGCGTGAGATCCCACGCATGATTGGCTGCGCTCCCGCTCCCGCTCCCCCGTTGGGCCCACGTGGCGTCGAGGTGGCCTTTGTCCGCGGTGCAATGACCGCGGCTCGTCACTCTTTTGCCCGGGCCTCGATGACCAACCCCGCGGTCTTCTCTCGGCGGCCTCTTTCTCCTGACCGCTTTTGTAGCCTCCCCAAGCATCACTCGGTGCCAGTACATTCACCCCATTGGCGCCTCAGTCCTGTCCTCTTCCCGTACTCGAGTCTCTCTCTCTCTCTCTCTCTCTCTCTCTCTCTCTCTCTTCCTGCAGGCAGGCTCTCTCAGAATACTGTTCTTTTGCACACTTCACTCGAAATCTAAATCCATCATGAGAGACGGGTATCAAGATCTTGTTGAGAGGGGGAGAGAGAGAGAGAGAGAGCAGGGATCGAGCGAAGAGTGAGAAAAAGGAACAGAGAACCCTAACACACTCCAGAGGAATGTAGAGAGAGAGAGAGAGAGAGAGTTTGTGACATGTGATAAGGGTAGTGGCTCTTTGGTTGCAAGGAATGGGCAAATGAGAACGTGACAGCTCGAGAGCAGCCTTTCTTGCCCTCATGGGTGACGTGAAGGAAGAGAGAGAGAGAGAGAGAGAGAGAGAGAGA